TCTTATCATTATTACTGTGATCTACATTTTTCAAAATGTACATCACATGCCTCATTTAAAACATTTTGAAAAAAGAATTTTCATGTTGTAATCTCCATTTTTCAAAGTCAATATGCTACTCCTATTTTAAGCTAAAACTAGAATATTGAAAGATAATTACAAACATAAACAGAAAAATTTTCTATTCGAAATATTTGTTGAATAGAATTTTTTTTGCCTTTTTTTTTTATAAAAATTAAATTTTGAAAAGAACCTCCAAATATAAGTTTTTTTAAAAGGTGATTGAATAATTTTTATAAATGGTAGTTTTATTTTTATATGTTTAGCATTAGTTATATTTAGAATTAGTTATACGTAAGAATTAATTAGACGTAAATTGATCTACAACAATTTTATTAGTTAATTTTATTAACATTTATTTTTAATTTTAAGTATAGAATATTAATTCAAAGAATTTTACATCTAATATTCTTAACTAATATTGTTAAGTTTATAATTTAATAATTCACAATAATTCACCGTAAAATTTATATTATATATAAATATAATATAATCTACTATTATAAACAAGGCTTAATTGCTAATAAATCCATGACTTTTTCGAAAATTGCAATTATACGCATCACTTTTAAACTTGGCAAATATATACACCACTTTTACAATTTTTGGCAATTGTATGAATCGGGCCCAATTTCGGGCTTTGACTGCTGACATGGCTGTTGAGTTTAAAAGTGATACATATAATTGCAACTTTCGAAAATGTCATGGTTTTATTAGCAATTAAGCAAATAAAATATTTATTGGATTTTACTTTACTATTTATTTTATTATATTTTCTATCTTATATTATATTATCTTATAAGATAATAAATATAAGATAAAGAATATTAATTATATTATAATAATAATATTATAATGTAATACATTATATTTTCGAACTTGTGAATATATAGACGCTACGTATTAATAAATACAATAATATTTTGAAGATAATGTAAATTATATTAATAAGATATAAAGTTATAATAATTAAAATATAATAAAATAAATTATATAATAAGAAACGAAAAATAAATTAAAATAAAGTAAGATAGATAATTATAGTACAGTGCATTTAAAGTAAATTACATTAAAATAAATTATTGTATTTATTAATTCTAAAATTAATTATATAAATTTGGAAATTAAAAAAAAAATAATGATAAAATTAAATTAAAAAATAAAGTATAAAAATAAAAATCTATTTATTTTATTTATTTTACCATTTTTTTATAAGTAAATATATTATTTATTATATTCTCATATATTTTATTATATCAGATAATATAAGATAGTATTAGACAATATAAGATAATATAAGGTAATATAATATGAGATAATATGTTTTTTATAAAATAATATAATATAAGATAATATATTATTTATTAATTATTATATTATATTATCTTATATTTATTATATTTTAAAATATAATATTATATAATGTAATACATTATAATAATATTATTATAATATAATAAAATTTCATTATCTTGTAAGATAATATAATATAAGATAGAATATATAATAAAAGAAATAGTAAAATAAAAATAATTAAATATTTTATTGGCTTAATTGTTAATAAAACCATGACCTTTTCGAAAATTGCAATTATATGCATCATTTTTAAACTCAGCAACCACGTCAGCACTCAAAGCCCGAAATTGGGCCCGGTGCATACAATTGCCAAAAATTGTAAAAGTGGTGTATATATTTGCCAAGTTTAAAAGTGATGCATATAATTGCAATTTTCAAAAAAGTCATGGATTTATTAGCAATTAATCATAAATAAATCCCTTGGTGTGTAGACTTGTTGGAAAAGCGTTATTTTTATTTATTTTTTATTTTTTTTGACAAATTCTAATTGGCAAAACTCACAAAT